GGCCCAGACTTTCGGGCGCTGGCCTCCCGGGGATCCTCTGCATCCCGTGCATCCTCTGGCTCGGTGCGAGAGGCTCCCATTCGGCATGGCCCCTGGCGCTCCAGGACGGCCCGGACTTGCGGGCGCTGGCCTCGCCCCGGGGAACATGGACCCAGGGCTCCTATAAATAGCTCCGCGCCGCGTGCCGCGCGAGAGCGCGACGTGCGAATCGCTTCGCGCCCCCTCGCGCCGCCTCCCCAGGGGGAGGAGAGGAGGAAGAGGAGGGATCGGAGCCGAACCGCGGAGCGCGAAGAACCTCGTGCCCTCGAGGGCGCCCTCGTGCACGCGCCCGAGCGACGCAGAGCCGCGCAGCCTTGCCCTCCCCCTCAGAAATCGTGGGGGGTAGGGGCAGGGTTCGCATGTGGCCCCCTAGCCCGCCCGACCGATGCCGAGCGGCCCCTCGGCCCCCCCGGCAAGGAGGCCTGCACCGCGACGAGCTGGTGCCAGGCCGGCTCGCCCTCCTCGCCGCGGGGCCGCGCCGGCGGCTGCGCCCCGCGGGGCGGGCTGCTCGGGGCAGGGCACTGCTCGGGAAGAGGGCGAGGGGGGGAGAGAGAGAGAAAGAGAGAGAGAGAGAGAGAAGAGATACAAGCAGGAGGAATAGAAGGAGAGGGATGAGGAGGAGTGATGGAGGAGGAGAAAACGAATGCAGGAGGAATAGGAGTGAGGAGGAATATGAGGAGATTAGGAGGAGAGGAGGAGAGTGAATGAGGAGGAGGAGGAGGAGGAGGACCTCCAGGGACTTTCGGGCCCAGGGCACGCATGGGGGGCGAGGGACGGAGTCGGCAGCGTCGTCCTCGCCGCCTCCGCCCCCCCCCCCCCCCCCCCCCCCCCCCCCCCCGCAGAATATGGGGCCCCCCATGGAGCAAAAACGGCCCAGGGCCGGAGCCCCCGCCGCGGCCAGGGCGGAGGGCCGGTACGGCGGCGGCGGCCCCCCCCACCCCCCCCCCCGTGTCCCCCATCTGGGGGGGGGGGGGGGGCTGGGGGGGGGGGGGGGGGTCCCATGGGCCCCCGGAGGCCCAGGATCCGACGTGTCCCAAGACCGCGGGCAGCAGCAGGGGAGAGCGAAGCAGGGCCCGCAAGCCCCCTCCGTCTGACCTCGGGCCCCGGCTTGAGGCACACACACCTTCCTCGTCTGCTCTGCAGGGGGCACGGGCACCTTGCCCCCCCGGGGAGGTCCCCCTCGCGCTTTCGTGGTAGACTTGGCTCTTCTACAGGCTCGCGTCTGATCGCCCCCAGGGGCGACCACCCCTCGGGGGGGGGGGGGGCAGCATCATGGGGCTCATATGCCAGCAGCGTCAGCGTCAGGGGGAAGGGGGGAAAGGGGAGGAGGGGGAGAAGGACCAGGGGGAAGGAGGGGAGGAGGATCAAGAGGGAGGGGGGGGAGATAGGAACCCAGAACATAGAGGGGGAGACACGAATAGAGGGGGATAAAGGATCAGCGAGAAGGAGGAGGAGGATCAGAGGGAGGGGGGAGGAAGGGGAGGAGGACAGGGAGGGGGAGGGGGAGGAAAGGGAGGAGGGGGGAGAAGGACCAAGGGGAAGGAGGGGAGGAGGATCAAGAGGGAGGGGGGGAGGAAGGGGATGAGAAACGGGAGAGGGAGGGGAAGGAAGGGAAGGACGAACAGGAGGGGGAGGTGGAGGGAGTTCCACCGCCGAGCCACCCTGTTCGGCGATTCACAGTGGCACATCCGACGGGTAGCTCTATCGACGCGCGGCAACGACACAACATGCCACACGAGCCCAGGTTCGGCATAGACGAGGCTGGGCTCGGAAGCTCATCCCGGAACTCCACCAGGGGGCCAAGGGGGTCCACGAGAAAGTAGGGGAGGAGAATTGAGAGGGGGCGGGGAGACGGGATGAGGCGGACGAGGGGTGGCGATGCGGACGAGAGGGAATAGGGGACGGGGATGCACAATGAGGCAGGCAGGAGGCGAATTTGACAAGCCAGGGGAGCAGCCCACGGACGCAACAATCTCCGGATCCTTTGGCAGAGAACTCGACGCTCGCTGGCGTGCGACAATCGGATGTATCCTTTTCGCTCGCATTATTATGTGTATGTTTGCATTGGTGGACTGCCACCCTCCTCAACGCGCTGCTTTCGGCACATCAAGCGCTCTGAGCTATACTCGGGCGCTTTCAAATAGCACAAGCCAAAATCGATGCATGCTGTTGCGATGGGTCGCTTTTGACGTATGATAAGTCTTCGAACGCCGTGTTTGTTCGTATTTTCTGAACACAATGGTTTGATGTCTCGGCTACTTTTGCTTTTTTGCGCTCCGGGAAGGTCGAGAACGGCCCCTGTCCAAGTTTCTGTGTGCCAATCCCGTCCCCTGTTTCGTGCTAGATGCGCGTTGTGCTATCCTCGCCCCTCCCCCATGACGTGAGGGAGAGAGAGAGAGAGAGAGAGAGAGAGCGAGAGAGAGAGAGAGAGCTGGAGGGAGGAGGGGAGCTGGACGTGGAGGTAGAGGCGCAGTAGCAGCAACAGGCACAGGGAAAGGGGACACGCATGCCATTGTCTGCGGTGCCCCCAGTCCTGCTGACCTGTGCTATGTTAGCCCAGATTTCGTAATAAAAGGGAGGGGGTCTCAACCCTCCCAGACGAGAAGTTTTAGACCCCCCCCGTGGGAGAACCCTCCAAAACATCGTCCCCAGACCCCCCCCAGGCCCTCCAAGATGGCCTCGAAGAGACCCCCCCCGAAATGAGACCCCCTCCCTTCTATGACGAAATCTGGAGTAGCCCCGTGTGCGTCCCCCTCTCCCTCCTCGCCCCTGCCCCGTGCACCCGTGCCGCGCCGCTCTCGACGCGCGAGGCGTGTCCTCGGAGATCCCCCCCCCCTGCTCCCCGAGCGAAGGAGAGGTGCAGCAGGAGCTCGGCCACGACAAACCTTGCAAAAGGAGCCCGACTCTGAGACCCCAGGACGCCCATGGATTTTTTGGACCCAGGGCAGCCTGGGGACAAGCAGGGTGTTTCTTGGCATGGGTCCTCGTCCTCCCCCTCCTCCTCCTCATCCTCCATTCCTCTCCTCCTCATCCTCCTCAATCCTAGCCCGTTTCCACCGAACCTCACCTTTCAGGGGCGATGCCGGCGATGCACCCCCCCACCCTGCGACCTGTGCTCATGTTGTCCCGGCATGTCTCCTCCTCCGCTTGCCTTCTCCTCCCCACCTCCTCCTCTCCTCCCACTTTTTTTTTTTTCTTTTTTCCCCTCCTCCTTCTCCTCCTCATCATCCTCATCATCATCATCATCATCATCCCTCAGCATCCTCCTAGACCGTTCCTTTTTCTTTTTACACCGACCTCACTTTCAGGGCGGTGCCCAATCCTGCTGACCTGTGCTATGTTGATCCCGCGTGTCTCCTCCTTTCCCTCCTCGTCCTTCTCCTCCACCTCCTCTTCCTCTCGACTGCGGCCATCAGCGTGGCTCTCTTGCCCACATGAATTGTCCAGGGGCCAGCGTTCGATGTGGATGTGGGCCAAAAGGTGTTGCCTCCTGCTTCTCCTCATCATCCTCCTCCTCCTCCTGATTCTCCTCCCCCTCCTCCCCCTCCTCCCTCTCCCTCCTCCCCTCCCTCCCTCCCTCCTCCTTCCCCCCTCCTGGCTTGGTCTCGGCGGAACGGCTCAGATAGCACGCGGCTCACATAGCACGCGTCAGGGGAGCCCCCCTCTCTCGCCGCCGGGGCTACCTTCACTGACAGAGTCGAGAAGATTCGCGCGAAACGCGACTAACATAGCACAAACCACCCTCCATAAACAACGCTCTTGATCCAAAACATGAAAAATAAGAGGCCAAAATCGACTTCCTCATTTGTGCTAGCGTCTCCGAGCTATTCGTGAGCGGCTGACTATACTCCTTGGAGTGCGAGAGTGGGATGGGGAGGGGGAGGTGAAGGAGAAGGATGAGAAAACGGGAGCGGGTCAGGGCGAGTAGTAATGAGTGGCAACGCAAAATCTCCCCTCGGCAGCTGCCCTCTCCTGCCGTCAGATCCGCCGACCAAGCTTACAGGGGGGAAGGAAGGCGTGTGACATATGTCTGCTGCCAGCCTCCCCCCCAATCCCTGGAGGTCCCAAAAACCAATCAGAATGGGGGGGGGGGACTGGGACGGGGAGAGGGGGGCACGATCCGACGCCTCCGAGATGCCCCACAGGGCCCCCAGCAGGGTCCATAAGAGCGCCGAGGCGGCCCATGAGGGCCCTGGGACAGCCCAAGCTGACCCCATGACCGTCCAAGGGACGCCGGCCTCCCCGAGACCGTTTCCAGACGCCAGAAGTTCTGGATTGCCAGCCGTCTCGTGCTTCAGGACGACCAAGACGGCCCACAAGGCCCACGGGATCACCCAGGAGACCCCGAGAGGCACCCGAGGCGCCCCCGACCCACGGCCCACGCGTTGGGGGGGGGGGGGCCAATGGGAGTGGCGTGCGCTTCTTGAACAAACATCCCGCGCAAGCGACAATAGCAGGGATACCCCGACAGGAGGACGAGCAGGGAAATGTGTGGGCGGAGGAGGTGGCGAGGGAGGCCAGGGGGCTGCGAGTCCGCTTCGTACTCGCCGGTGCCGCCCAGGTCGTTGAGTGCCCAGTTGTAGGGCATGTAGGTGACAGCCAGGGGAGGCTCGGCGGCTAGCGAGAACAAGTGCTCTGAAGATGTTCCCCCGACTACAATGAAAGTCTTGCTACACATGAGGCGCCTGTATCCAGAATCCAGGCCTTGCTCGACTACAGCGCAAGGAATGGCGCGGCCTTCATCCAGATTTAAGCTTCATGCTGAGCAAAAAGAGGAACGCTTCAAAAGCACCGAGCCCATCCGAAACGAAGCGCTCCTTGTTCCAACATGTTGACGGCACAGTGATGCCGGGAGCGACATTTCCCCTGAAATACTCAGCGAAAGACTCGCGCTGAATCAGAACTGCCCAGAGGAGGTCCTGATGATCAGACCGCAAACGGGCCATGTGTTACGGTCTGGCTGGAAGCGCGTCATATCTGAGCGGCGTCGCGAACCCTGATCCCTTCCCTTAAAAGCCAGACCAGGGTCAGAACCTAAGCCGCCATCGGCGGGTTTGCACGGCCGGTCTACCGTCTAATTTGCATGGCCTCTGACATGCAGGGGCCATACAAGATTGAGCCAGCGGTCGCCTCATTGTCCAGCAAAGCCAGCCCAGCGCCGCAGCAAGCACAACCAGCCCAGCCAGCCAAGCCCAGCCTAACCAGAACAGCCCAGTCGGCCCAACACCAGCGCAGACAGCCACCCAACCAGGCCACACCAGCACAGCCATCACGGCCAACCATCCCCTCCCGTCCCCTCGTCCTCCCTCCCTCCTCCCACGTCGTCATCATCGTCATCATCACCATCACAACCATACTTAACATAATCATCCTCATTCAAACCCTCCACCACCACCATCATCATCAGCAGCATCAGCATCGTCATCAGCTTCACCACCATAATCACCATCACAATACTCATCATCATCATCATCATCATCATCATCATCATCATCATCATCATCATCATCATCATCATCATCATCATCATCATCATCATCATCATCATCATGATCATCATGATCATCATGATCATCATGATCATCCTCATCATCATCATCATCATCACCATAATCATCATCATCATCATCAGCATCATCATCATCATCATCATCATCAGCGGCAGCATAATCATCATCATCAGCGGCAGCATAATCATCATGATCAGCATCAGCATCAGCATCATCATCATCATCATCATCATCATCATCATCATCACCACCACCACCGCCACCATCACCATCACCCTTACCCTCACCCTCACCATCCCCCACCTCATCCTCTGCCTCGCCCCCCTCTCTCGTCCTTTCCCCCTCCTCGCTCCCTGTGCCCCCCCCCCCCCCCCCCCCCCTGCGCGCCTCCCGCCCGCAGAACTTGTGCTCCCCACGCGCGGTCCCCGCAAGCGCCGACCCTCTCCACGGGGCCTGTTTTGGCTGCCCCTGAATCGTACAGCGATTTCGGGGGCAGTGACATTTGCGGAGACCAGCTCTTCCCCAATGCATCGCTGACTCGTAGCTTACCAGCCTGGAACATATCCCTGTCCCTATGCTGGGCATCTCCTCATCACGATGCCAATCTTGGGGATTCACTTATTTTTTGAGGGCGGATCCCTAAGATCGTCATCGCCTTTTGGCGTGTCAATCTTAGGGATAGGGATCTGTTCGAGGCTGGTAAGTATTCCAAATCCCTTATTAATCGTCCCCCGGGTCCGGTTTTTTAAGGCGCCTTTTTGGTCATTAAGGGGGTCCAGTTTATTAGGTCGCTTTCTTCGGATTGGAGCTGAGGGGGTCTGGCTTACTAAGGCGCCCCCTCGAAGAGGGGGTCCGGAATATTAGGTCGCATTTGGAGGGGGGTCTGGTTTTTTAGGGGGGGGGGGTCGATTAATAAGGGATTTGGAGTAGCCTCACCCACCTGGTTCGCTCGAAAAGACTCCTCTCTGCGGCAGGTAAAAAAGGGACCGCGGCAAAGACGCCCGCAAAGGGGGGGGGGCGGGGAGCCCGAGCCCGCCCCCGCGGGGCCGCCCGGGGTCGGGGGGAAGGCGGCCGTCTGGCCCGAGACTCCCTCCCAACACGCTCGAGAGCCGTGCCGCCGCCCAGATTCAAATCGGGCCTGTCCCCTCCTCCTCCTCCTCCTCCTCCTCCTCCTCCTCCTCCTCCTCCTCCTCCTCCTCTACAGGAAGAGTTTGGGCGACAACTAAACAGAATCAGAAGAACACCCCCAGATGATCAAACAACCCTAGAAAGAATTTGGTCCCCATGCTATTTTTGTTGCTATTTTTGAATGTTCCCCCCTGTAGAGGGACAGGCCCGGCTTAAGCCTGGATGCCTCTGCATGTTCGGTCCTGAGGTGCACATGGCAGTGCTCTCGCCACTGCGTCCCTGCAGGCGATCTCCCACTCCTCGACCCGCCTCTTCACCTCTTGCTCCTGCGAGAACGCCTCGCTGGGGTGGTGTGGAGGCCACAGGGGGCCCCGCGAGGGCCCACCCAGAGGCCGAAACAAAGCGGCCAACAACGACGCGCCATGCTTTCTGCTCTACGGCGCGAAGGGAAGCGCTCGGGACCTCCGACGCTCGGGCGCTCGGGGGCCACAGGTCGGGAGGATCGACGTGGGTGCGGAAAGAATGGGCACGATGCCCAACAACAGTCCCTGCTCATTCTGCACCAGACTCGCTGCTCGCGCCGCCGCGGACGCTCTTCTCTGAAGGCAAGAAGCCGCCTGCCCAACAGCGGCCGCTGTCGGTTTGGGACAACATGTGTCGTTGGGCATTGTACCATTTGTTGTCTATACCTATTTCGGGCGTCCAAAACAGGGATGCCCCCGACTGCCGAAATCCAAGAAAACCGCCGGCAGCAAAAAGTCAGATCGTCTGAGCCCCCCCCACCGCACAAGGTGTTGGCGGCGCGCACAAAGGGGAATGGGGGCGGTGAGAGATTCCGAGAAGGAGGCTGGCCCTTAAGTGGCGCCAGCCCTACACCCACAGACAGGGCTCGCGCCTTCTGAGCAGCAGGAGTGCCTCTAAGAACCCTTCGCCCTCCCCCTGCCCACCTCTGCGCGTGGGTTACAGTGGAGGCCCGAACATATAGATCAACATGTTGCAGTATATCATTTCCCGAACGGCGCCCGCCACGGAGCTTCTACCTTTAGATTTCTCGGCGCGCGCGCGTCGCTGCTGGGTGGCGACGCACACGCAGTGTCAATGTGTTGGGGTGACGCCCAGCCGCGTGGTGCTAAGGGCCCATGGCCCGCTCGCCCACGATCCCGCCACGTGGGTATCCCAAAACCGTGCGGCGACAGACCGTGTGGTGACCTCGGAGTCTCAAGAGACCTCACCGCACGGTCCGTCAACGCAAGGTCTTGGGACCCTGGAGGCCCCCGTCGCCCGAGACATCCTCGGAGAGGGGCTCGAGTCTTATGTTGCTCCCATCGTACTTCAGGACCACATCCCAAAAATAGTTTCGAGCACCCGGAAATGTGTCGAAAGAATGTCGAAACAGTGTCGGAACAGTGTCGGGCGAGTGTCTCCCAGGGCCCGACACGTGAAAACCCTCGAGTTTCGGGACTCTTCTGGTGCTTGAAATTCTCGGGTGATCAAGGCTAAAGTAGGTTGGAACACCATAAGCCTACTCGAGTCTTACATTTCCCCGAAAAGGACCAGACCACAGCTCCGCCGGCCCGGCGGGGCCTCGACGGCCAGGCGGGGGCGTGGCGGGGCCTCGGCGGCCGCACGTCGGGGGGCTCAGAGGAGATTCCTGGAGATTGCTGCTACAGAGAAGGTCGGAACGTTGCTACGCCTTCGGGGGGCTCAGAGGAGGAGGAGGAGGAGGAGGAGGAGGAGGAGGAGGAGGAGGAGGAGGAGGCCCCAAATCCCCACCGAGTCCCAGAACCGTGCGGCGGCCCCGAATCCCCACCGGCTCACCACGCGGTGTGGTCACCACACCGTCCGGGGGGCCCCCCGGCCACGGGCGTGGCCCAGCCTCCCCCGGGATGGGCTCGCCGCCGGTGACGTCCCAGGCCGCGGGCGCCTCGGCTCGGCCGTCGGGCGGCTGCCCGGCGTCGTCGCCGCGGTCGCCGCGGTCCTCCTCGTCTTGCACCTCCTCCTCCTCCTCCTCCTCCTCCTCCTCCTCCTACTGCCTTCCTTTCTTTTCAAACAACTCCTCCCCGTCGCAGTCCGCCCGAGGCCGGTCGAAAAGGCGGGCGGCGCGTTTCGCCTGAGACGCCCCCACCTTTTATGATCCTGAAGCTTCACGGATGGAGGGCGGGTCGCTTTCAAAACGTAGCTCACGCCTTGGCGCCGCGTACATCCCTTGAAAAGAATGCAAGGGCTTCATGGATTGAGGGCGGTTCCTTGTCAACATATGGCTCCCTTCTTAGCTCCGCACACATTCGTTGATTGATGTTCAAGAGTTTAAGGGGTTCGCATGGCTAACGTATCAGAGAAGGCGTTTTGGAACGATTCAGGATTGCCAAGGCGCAGCAGTTACGTTGATGTGCGGTGTTGAAGCCCCAGGAATGGTGTTCTGGCACGGTTCAAGATCGTCATGACGCAGAAGTCACATCGGTTCGTCGAGTTGGAGTTCCGAGAATGGCGTTTTGTCACGCTTCAGCATCTTAAAACGGTTCTTTCCCAACGGGGCACTTCCACCAGTGGAAACGAATCCGTGTTGTAGGGGCCTGTGAAGAGGGAGCTTGGAGAGAGGGTGTATTCCAACATCGCTGATGAGTCTTGGGTTTGCACTGGTCAGCCTCCTTCTCCTCTTCCTCCTCATCCTCCTCCTGCTACTTCTCCTTCTCCTCCTCGCCCTTGCAACCATCATGCTTAGCCCTCGACGTACTCCTGTTCCTCCTTCTGGTGACTCCTCCTCCTCAGCTTTCTCATTCTCCACGTCGAACTTATCGTTCTCCTCCCCCAACCTTCATCGTCACCATCGTCGTCATCATTACCATCATCGTCATCATCATCGTCATGCTCGGCATCATCATCATCACCATCATCATCATTATCATCATCATCATCATCATCATCATCATCGTCATCAGCACCATCATCATCAGCATCATCATCATCATAATCATCATCATCATCATCATCATCATCATCATCCTGATCATCATCATCAGCATCAGCATCATCGTCGGCATCACCATTATCATCATGCACACCATGGTCATCGTCATCGTCATCATCATAATCGTCATAATCGCCATCATCACCACCAACAGCATCACCAGCATCATCAGCATTGTCATCGTCATCATCTTCATCATCATCATCGTCATCATCATCGTCATCATCATCATCACAGTCGTCGACATCATCGTCATCAGTTTGTCATCATGATTATCGTCATCATCATAAGCACCAGCATCAGCAGTATCTCCATCAGCATCACCATCATCGGCATCGCAATTTCAACCATCATCACCATCATCATGTGCAGCATTACCATCACCACCATCATCATCATGATCACCATCAACATCATCAGCATCGCCAATGTCATCAGTATCGTCCTAATCATCATCAGCATCATCACAACCATCATCGTCATCAGTAGTATCGTCATCATCATCATCATCATCATCATCATCATCATCATCATCATCATCATCATCATCATCATCACCGAAAATCAGCATCACCAGCATCACCACCACCACCATCATCATCGTCATCGTCATCATAATCAACAACATCACCATCATCATGATCATGATCATGATCATCATGATCATCATCACCATCATCATCATCATCATCACCGTCATCGTTTTCGCCATCGTTAGAGTCATAGCTATACTTGTCATCATCGTCGTCCTCCTCATCATCATCATAGTCATGCCCCCCTCATCATCCTCGTCCCCATCCTCCTTGTTCCTTCTTCTGTTCTTTCGCATATTCCTCCTCCGCCTCCCCCTCCTATTTCCCCAACTCCTCCTCGTGCCCTTTCATAGTGTTCCCTCCCTGCCCCTCTCTCTCTCTCTCTGTCGCTCTCTATCCCCCCCCAAACTGACCTCAATACTGACAGCGACAGGCTCTAGAGAGCACTTGCCTGGATCGGCGCGAAAGCTGTGCCGTGGGCCTCCTCGGGCTGCGCGCCGCTTGACGCTCTCTCCCCCCCCACTCCTCCTCCACTCCACCGCCCGTGACCCTGCCACACGGTGCCCCTCGTCCCCAGCTCCACCCCTCCCGGAGATGTCTGCAGGCCCCATGGAGCCCCCGAGAGGGCAACAGCACAAAACGAAACACCCCGTGACCCTGCGGGAGCCGCACGCATATGCAGCAATGCACACCGGCCTCCGCCCGAGACGTCTGCGTACATCAGATGCCGTCGAGCGCCTCGCGCTCGCAGGCCTCCCCCCCAGTTCGGGTGTTGCTAGAAGTGCCCCTGGCCCAAGGTGCCCCCAGGAATCCCGGGGTGGCCCGGACGGCCTCCAGAGCACCCCTCACAAGGCCCAGAGGGCCCCAGGGGCCCCAAAATGGAGCGACAAGCTTGGGGTACCTTGGGCCACCCAGATGGTCTGGTACCGGAAATTTTCGGTAGCGATTTCGACGCACCCCGAATTTCGGTAGCGACCGGATCTTCGTTTGAGGGCGTTGAAACAGCGGATTTCAGAACGCTCTGATACCGGTATTGGGCGCTACATCTCGGTATTTCGGTAGCGACCGATCTCTACGGAGCGCTACCCGAAATTTTCGGTAGCGGACCATCAGGGCAGGGGCACTTCTGGCAACACTCGACCGGCATGCGATGCCGCTGTGCAGATTGCTGCTTGCTTCTGCTTCCCACCGGCCCGCGCGGGCCCACGGCCCGCGCCCCCCTCCCGGGCAAGGCTGCGCCACAGACGGCAGGCAGCCCTCGAGATCTGAGGCCGCTCGGCCTCGCCCCCCCCCCCCCCCCTGCAAAAAAAAATGGGCGGCGTGAGCTTCCGGGGGCGCGGAGGAGGTTTTTGAAGGGGCCCCAGGACACACAAATAAATACACACAAGCAAACATCTCCCCCATATTTTCCATATGTTCTGGGTTTTTGTCTCCCCCCCACTTCCCATATTTTCGCATATTTTCCTGGGACTCGACGATTAATTGTGTCTGTGTGTTTTTTCCCTCCTGAAGGTTTCCCTCTGCCGACAGACGGAGCGGAGGAAGCTCAAGTGGAACGCGGACCAGGCGAATCCGCCTAAAAAGTCCTGCGGAGCAAGTTCTTACACCGTAAAGGATCTATCACACGGAAGAGAAGCGGGGTGGGCGGGAGCCGAAACCTGCTCCGCCGCAGGCGGATGACATGCTGCAGGATTCTACAGGGGGGGAGGAGGGCCTCGTCGGCAGGCATGGTTCGAACTTGGATAACGGGAGTGTGATGGCCACGATACTGTGCGCGGTGGCTGTGGCGAGCACAGCATCATGGCAGACTGACCCAAGATCAAATCGGACGATCGAATCGGCAACCGACATGCGTCGAGTCAGCAGACATCGACACAGCTCGGAGGGTATCGAACCCCTCGCCCCGCGGCCCGAGACGAGGCCTGCACCAAGAAACCCAAGCCGAAGTCGGAATCCGGAGTCGAATCGCATCGAAATCGAAACATCCTGGAGCGAGGACCGACTCGAATCGACAGAGTCGAAATGGCTCATGATCATGTTCCTGCCCCCGACCCTGGGCAGCCTGATCCTAGCCCTCATTCTCGTCCTTCTCCGAGTCCGCATCCCCTCTCCATCTCCCCTTCCTCCTCCTGGTTCCTGGTTCCTGGTGGCTGGAAAGAACTGCGATCGGAGCCTTCATCCTCCTCCTCTTCCTCCTCCTCCTCTCCCATCCTCCTCCTCCTCCTCCTTCACCTCCTCATTTCTCCTCCTCCTCCTCCTCCTTCACCTCCTCCTCCTCCTCCTCCTCCTCTTCCTCCTCCTCCTCCTCTTCCTCCTCCTCCTCCTCTTCGTTTTCCTCCTCCTCCTCCTTCTCCTCCTCCTCCTCCCTCCCGACCCGTCTCACAGTCCCTCCTCCTCCTCCTCCTCCTCCTCGCCTCCTCCTCCCCCTCCTCCTCCTCCTCCCCCTCCTCCTCCTCCTCCTCCTCCTCCTCCTCCTCCTCCTCCTCCTCCGCCTCCTTCTTCTCCCGGCCCACGGCGAGAGAGGCGCAGCCCCACGGGGCAGGCGCGTGGGCGTCGAGGAAGTCGTGCACGGAGCCGGCCTCGCGCACGAAGTCCTGCGCCGGCCCGGGGGGGGCCGGCGCAGGGCGGAGCCGCCCGGCAGCAGAGGCGGTGGCGGGGCGAGGCGATGGCGAGGCGATGGCAAGGCTGGCGAAGCGACGCTATGGCGAGGGCGGGGCTATGGCGGGGCGGCGCTCGGGGCGAGGCCATGGCGAGGCGGGGCGAGAGCGAGGCTGTGGCGAAGTACTGGAGGTGCGAGGCCGTGGCGAGGCGAGGCTGCGGCGAGGCCGCGGTGATGAGGGAGAGCGCACCCAGAGGTTCTGAGCTGCGGGCGCATGCATGGCAAGCCACTGGGTCTCCGTATGTTGCTGCACACCCCGACGTTGAAACGGCTACAGAACATATCCCCTGGGTTTGGGAAGGGTGCCGCCGTGCGCGCGGCGAGGCGCGCGCGTATGGCCATAACGGAGCTGTTTGACGGATCTGCCGCTTGCGTGGTGGTTGTAGAGTGCGATCGGCATGCGGGAGCGTGTCGCCCATCATGGTGTCGTTTGACGGGATGTCCAAAAACCTACGGCTCGCTGGTGAGTTCAGCCATCGCCTGCGCCTGCATATGGTAGCACTTCGTTGAACCAGACACCCGCGCTTGGAGGTTGCAGGATAAGTTTGCATGGAAACGGTAAGAAACGAAAACAAGTGCGCTTCCAATGCCATTGTCATCATGCGGTCGCGGGGGCCCGCGCATGTGGCCCGTATTGCATTACTCGACACGGATGGATGTGCAAAAAATGGCGGGGAAACCGATACCAGTTGCGCTGGGATGAGACTATCGACTGTTGGAGATGAGCGACCGTGCAGAATGGATCATGAAGTGCCCTACGCGGAAAAAGGGTTCGATAAACCGAGCCACTTTCTTCTTAGAAACAGACGCCCAAGTGGTGCAAGATGGGGTGGGACCCATAAGGTGCAACCACAACGCGCCCAAGAAACGCCTGCGGCCGGGCACGTGGCGAAGCCTCCGCCTACCCAGCCGGCGCGCACAACGCGCCCACGAGGCGCCCACGGCCGGACCCGTGGCGAACGGGCGGCCCACAAGACCCACCCAACTGGTCAAACGCACAAGGAAAAACAAAACACAGTGCAAGCGGTGTCTTGAGAACTGCGGCATGCGCGCTCCGGGGGCCAATCCCGAACAAGAAGCTAGAATGGGGCGTGGCCCCCGGGGCAACGATCCCTTGCAAACCCGGACAAACATGGGAGCCGCGCTCCAGAGACCGCGGCCCCCTGCGGGAGGCGACGGGCCCAGGCTCCCGAAGCGCTGCTTTGGGGGAGGTCCGCCAGGCGCTCCTCGAAAGCCAGCCCCCTCTGCACAGAGCCCCGCGCCAGGCTCAAACGCGAGAGTCGCCTCCCGGGGGCCTGCTCCCGGAGGCCAGCCGGAACGCCCTCAAATTGCCAGCCCCATTACCACAACGCCCTCTGATTTTTTTGCTTTCCCTCCATCTCTCTCTCGATCCTTCTCTCTCTCTCTCTCTCCCTCTCTCTCTCTCTCTCTCGCTCTCTTTCTCACTCGATATCTCTCTCTTTCTCTTTTTTGTTTCTCTCTCTCTCTCTCTCTCTCTCTCTCTCTTTCTCTCTCTCACTCTCTCGTTCTCTGTATCTCTCTCTCTGCCAGTAGAACCGCAATGGATCTGCTTTCCATCGCAGAAGAATGCAGGTCCACGATGCGAATCCACAAGCCGACCGACCGGCCTTCCAACCAGCCCTCGAACCTGCCAGCGAGCCAGCCGGCCAGCCCGACAACCAACCAGCCAGCCGCCCTGCAAACCAGCCAGCCGACCGGCCAACATCACACACTGCCAACCACTCAGCCCATCGACCCGTGGACCCACTCAACGCAGCCACGCAGGTAATCATAGGCTGCAGGGGGGCCGCCGGCAGAAGGGCGCAGCCCTTCAGATCCGACCACTCCCGCCTGCGGTTCGGGCCGCGCGAGCTCACCCTGTGCATGCGCGCGGCCAGCGCCGACCCGCCGGTGCCGCAGCGTGGAGGAGCCAGGGAGGAGAGGCACCCAGGAAGACGCCTCCAGGCCCCCCGATTGGCGCCCAAGGGCGCCTGCACCAGGGCCCCGGGAGGCCGAGGACGCTGAAACTCCTTGTCGGCAGCGCTGGCGGGCGCGCGCGCGACTGCAGAGCCGGCGGGCCACGCCGGGGGAGAGGCGCCCCGGGCCCAGAAAGCCCAGAGAGCCCGCCCGAGGACAGGCAGAGATACCCAGGTCTCGTGAGCGCGCCGCTGGAGGCCTACCGCGCGCCATCGCAGGTGCTGGGAGACCACCGCTGCACGCGCCTCCCGCCCCTGGCCGCCAGCGGGCGGCCTCGAGGATGCGGTTGGGCAGCGTGCTGGATCTGCGGAGGGGGGGGCGCTGGGGCTGGGAGTGGGTCGGCGGCGCACTGGAGCGGGTGGGAGGGCAGACGGCGGCAGCGGAGGCAGAGGGGGGGAAGGAGGCCCGGCCGAGGAGCCTCAGCGGGAGACGGGCGCGCGCAGGCGGCCTCTGGCACCAGACCAAGCACTGGAGCACACCTGCTCCGAGCTGCTCAAGAAGCGTGGGGTGCATCGCGGGGGGGGGGGCGCTGAAGTTGAGCCGTCCGTCGCGCGGCCGCGGGGGTCGGATCGCGCACGGGGGTGAGTTCGGTGCGCGCGCGGGGGGTCCGGGACGGGGGCCGTCGGGCGGAGGGGCATCGGGGGGGGGCTTCTTGAACACCTCGGGGTATGGCCTTCTGCCGTTTGCTTCCGAGGCTCTCCCGCCTCTGGCATCCCCACGACACGGCCAAGATGCCCCTGGATGGGTCCCAAGACTGCCGCCAAGCGCACCCAATATTGCCCAAGGACGCTTCACCAGGGCCCCTCAGACCAACCCGGTTGTCGCCTGGACTGCCAACAAATTCCTCTGCCCAGCCTCCTCGACGCTCAAGGCGGTACATGAGGCTCTTCATACCAGCCCACGACATCCCAGGAGGCTCCCAAGGGGACCACAATACGACCCAAGATGGCCTCAAGACTGGCCAAGAGACCCTGACGAAGCCCTCAGACGACCCCAAATCCCCGAATAGGCGCCCGAGCACGTCTCGAGGCGCCCGAAGAAGCAGCAAACAAATACAGCATTTTGTTTCCGAAGCTTGTCGATTTTGAAATCTTTACGACGTCCAGGAGACGCCCCAGGATGGCCCCAAGACGGCCTCAAGACAGCCCCAATGCGCCCGATAGACGGCCCTGCCCAAAATCTATCCAACTACCAGCCTCCTCGACGCCCGTCACAATCCGTTACACCAGCACACTAGCACACGACACCACAGGATCCCCGCCAAGAGGGCCAACACACAGCCCTAGATGATTACAAGACAGACTAAGAGGCCCCCGCAGCGCCTCCAGACGCCAACGAGAAAGCCCGAGACGGCTCCCGGGACGCTCCCCAGAGGCCCTGGCCCCCAAGGTACCCCAGAGAGGCCCTCGCGATGCCCCGATGATCCTCCAGCGGCCCCCAAGAGCCCCCCGACAAGCATTCTGCGATACACCCATAGCCATCCGACACGCATCTTACGTCGATCCAGGCACGGTAGCGGGATGGGCTGACGGCTACCAAATCCGCCGGAACTCAACGCCGCCAAACTCCCAGGCAGAGACTGGTGATGCGCCGCTGGCGTTGTCGAAAGAAGGAGGCTTCAGGGGCGGGGTTCTGGGCGGGCTCCTCTTATAGCATCCAGTAGAGCGCGTTTCTTCACTTTCGGCGATGTTGGGCATTATAGGGGGGGGGAGGGGCCAGGGGGGGTTATGATGTAATGCCTTCCCCCCGCCGTGCGCGCCGCGGCAGTGCCCAGAGCGCACGGCGGGGGGCGAAGGGGCGTTACGTTAAGGGGGGGAGGGGGGGCCGGGGGCTAGAATGCCCACTATGCCCCAAGCAAGAAAGAAACCCGCTCGTAGCACCGTGCGGAGCTGAGCAGCAGCAGAAGCGGGCCACGGCAGCAGAAACGCTGAAAGTCCACACTCCTGCTCCCGCCAGTCCTCCTCAGTTCCTCCCTGTTCGTTCTCATCATCACTCTCCACCTTCCCCTCCCTCCACATTGTGCCTCCTAAGCTTCCTCATCCTCCACCTACTGATCATCAGATTTCTATCATTCGTCTCCCATAGAGCCTCCTCCTGCACCTCCTTCTTCTCCTGCCTATCCTCGCTCCCTTCGAATGCTCCTCCTGCTCATCCCCCAACCTTTCTCCCGATGGAACTCGTCCTCCGCCTCCCTGCAATGCTCCTCCACGCTGACTGCTCGTCCACCGGGCATGCCCCTAATAGGGTGAGCCCGAGTGACTACCCGATCTCGTCCGAGGGTTGCCGCGACACTCGAATGAGACGTCCCAAGAGAGCTCCAGCGAGGCCCGGCGAGACTGAAACACTACCCGAGAAACACCCAAGGCGGTCCAAGACCGCCACAAGAGGGCTCCAAGATGGCCCCAAGACCCGCCGAGCGGGTCGCAAGAATGCCTCGAGACGCCCCCGTTCCCCCTACCGGCCCAAAAGAAACCGCATGAAGCCTCTCAGGATGTTTTCAAGAGGGGGCGGGAAGAATGAGGAACAACAGGAGAACAAGAATGACGTGCTTAAGAGCCGAGCCGGTTCAGACAGGGTATTGAACGGGACTGGATCTTCAAAACAACCTCACAACAGCTGCGCTGCTGCGTTGGCACGGTGGCACGGTTGCCAAGGCAGCTGGATAATTACCTCCCAAGGCCCAAAAACACCAGCATGAGGGTTCTGACATAACACAAATCCTGAAAGCCATTTCCTCCACTGTGGACGTTTTAAGGTCTATTTTGAATGTGTGTGGAAGCTGTGGTCCCGTGGACCCCCTGAGGTATCGCCCCAACGGGGCGGGTGGCAAGCCATGCGGTGACGGAGGAGGATTGGTACGGATGGCCTGCGACTTTGCTACTGATAAGTCCCTCATCCTCTTCCGCCTCCGCCTCGTCCCCCCCCTCCTGATCCCTCCTTCTCCCATCGGTTCCTCCTCTTCCTCTTCTTCCCCTCCTCCTCCTCCTCCTCCTCCTCCTCCTCCTCCTGCTCCTCCTCCTTCTCCACATCCATATCCTCC